CCTTCCAACTGGCTTCCCTGCCTCGTCCCTGTCTACTCCAATCCATCCTCCACTCAGCTGCCAAGGTGATTTTTCTAAAGCACAGCCACGACTTGTCCCTTCTCAGGTTCACGCTCCAAGGGCTTCCTAATTCCTCTAGGGTGAACTATAAAGTTCTGTGGCATCAAAAACCCTCTAACACCTGGCCCCTTCCTAACTTTCCAGCCTTCTTCCATCTCACTCCCGCACTCCCCCAAACTTGCAGCAACCCTGTCTTGGGGACCTCCACACTGATGTCCCCACCATGCCTTCTGAAAGGCTGTGCCCCATCTATTAACCCAACTGTATTTTCCAGCACACACTCTCCTGAGAGAACTAAAAACAGAAACACCAAGAGCCTGAACATATAGGAAATATCTTTATTTCAAAAAAATTATGGGATATGGATACCTTAACCATGATGTGGGACATGGAAGTCTGATCCAGTAAACAAAATAAATACACAAACCTACTTCACACTTTGGTTCTGGCATCTTACACAGGAGTGAGCCCTGGAGTAAGCAAATCTAGGAGATCCATATAAATATAGAGTACTTTCTCTAAAAGTTCAACATTCAATACTTGTCACAGAATTCTCTACCACCCTATAAGGCAAATTCTGTTTAGTACCAACACACACATACAGACGTACATTCAAAAACATACACACGCACAGGCACAGACCACCAGCTTAACATCAGTGCTAATCCAGGAAGGGAAAGAGGTGGTAGAAGGTTAAGGGTTCAAGTTGGTGACTTTATAGCCGGGGTTTGGGATAAAGGGAAAGAGACAGAGGCAAAGCAGAGGTGGGCCCCAGAGCGATTGGTGGTCAGGTGTGAAACCAGAAGGTGGGAACAGCATCTCCACCTGGAGTCCACACCTGCCTGACTTCACCCGATGGGAGATGAGGGAACCCGCCGGCCAGCTGCCCCCCAGCTGGGGTGAGGCTGTGAACAGGAGAGTGGAGGTATGCCTCCTCCACATAAATCTCTGAAAATGGACCTGGTGAGCTCTCCCCAAGAGCTCCCCAGGGGGATAATAGTTACAGGTAACTGGTGTAGCGTTTGAAGGTTTGCCAAGCACCTGTCCAGATCCTCAAAACGAGGCCAAGAGGTCAAATGGCTAACCTGAGGGGGGGAGTGGATTTAAGAATGCCAAGCCGGATGGAGAGCACAGCCTTTTATGCCAGCTCCCTTGGACTTTCACTTTATCTGGTACCATCTCGCCCAGGGTTGTCTGTATCTGTGATACGTCCTGTGGCTGAGCTGTCTTGGCATAGACCCCAAATAGATGCTTCTCAGACCAGAAAATACCAACATGTCCCGATCTTGGCCTTCAAGCCCAAAGGCAGGGGAGCGGAAATACAGGCAAGGGAGCCTCTCCAACATGTCGCCGCTTCTCGGGGAGAAGCACTTTCTAATTCTCACCTTCAGATCACAGGTTTAGAGAGCCCCCTCATTTTACAGATAAGGAAAGTGGAGGCATACAAGGTTTAAGTGACTTTCTCAGCTTGGGCAGGATTGGAACCTGGGGCCAATTGGGCTGGATTCTAAGCCCAGTACTCCATTCCCCCTAACCCACAAGCCGACAACTCCCTTTCTCTGAACACTCTGTGGCTGGCAGCTCTTCCCTCCACAAGTCACTTTACCCTCTCAAGGCCCCATTCTCCACTGGGAAGAGTTTTTAATCAGGGCCTACCTATCCTGTTCAACGTGCCCAGAAGGGTGCCAGCCAGTTACCTACCACCTACTCTGTCAAACAAGAAATGTGAGTGCTTAACTGTTTGAGTCCCTTAATAGGGGGCTCAGCAGGACCTTGGGGTGGGATATAGCTTAATTTTTTTAAGAAATGCTTTTAATCTCAAGGGCCGATTGTCTGTTTTACTAACATTCCCTGCAGGGTGTAGCATGGGGGAGATGGTGTTCTGATAGAGGCAAAAACATCACTTAAAATGTTAGGATTTTGGGGGCAGCTAGGTGGCGCAGTGGATAGAGTACCAGCCCTGGAGTCAGGGGGACCGAGTTCCAATCCATCCTCAGACACTTAACACTCACTAGCTGTGTGACTCTGGGCAAGTCACTTAACCCCAATTGCTTCACAAAAAAAAACAAAAAACAAAAAATAAAACAAAAAATAAGTTAGGATTTTTAAATGTGACTTCAAAAAAAAAAAATCCAGACTGGATTTCATCAGAGCTCCTAGGGAGGAAACCCTTTTCTACCCACACAAACCGCCCCCTCCCAGTCACATGCCAGAAAGTGTCTGAGGTGGGATTCACACCTAGGGCTGTGGTTCTGAGGCCAGTCCTTTATCCACAAGGCCTCTCTGTCCCCACACCCACCTTTTTAAATTACATGAGAGCCAACACCACTGTTCTCTATGGGAACATTTCTCTTAAAAGAAAAAAAAAAATCCAATGGTAAAATGGGTGTCAATACAGATAGCTGCTTTTACAGACGTGACCTTTTTGGGAGTCGAGCCAATGGGGAGCCCAGATTCAGTGTGGGAAGGGGCCCCGGAGGCCACTGAACCCAACCCCCGTTTTACAAAAGAGGCACCAAGGAAGTGAAGGGGTTCACTCTGAGTCACCAGGCAGCAATCTCGGGGCGGGAAGCACCCAGGACTCCTTTGGGCTGCCCAAAGAGCATCATCGGGGCAGAAGAAAGCACAAGTGGCTTCAGCTCTGGCATGGCTCTCCGGGCAGGTTAGGGTGCTGTTTCTGTGACCAACACCTCAATAACTCCTCCCTCCCTTTAGACCGACGATGGCACTTTATTACACCTTTCAACACAAGGCAAGCTAGGCTGTCTCTGCCTCTGGGCCACAACTCGGCTCACAGCCGAGGTCTGTCAAAGGCCGGAAGGTGGCCTGGGCCAGCCGAGGGCAGGATCTGGACCGGAGGAGCGAGCAGAGTCAACATCCCCGCCCAGCACGCTCACCTGAGACATCTCCTTCCGTTCTACCCTGTCAAGCTGGACGCACAGAAGATGGGAATGGCGGGTGTGCCGCATCTTTAAAAGACACTTGTAATCTACGGGCTGACGTCCGTTTCACCAATGGTGTCCTCGGCAGGGTGCGTGGGAGTTGGCCACAGGCTTCGGCCGGGACTCCCAGGGAGCGGAGCCAGCCAGAGAGTAATACAGCAGAGCCATTGGCCCATCCAAGGCGTGGGGAGGGGAGAGGGAGGGTAATGGGTCTACACCAGCACCAGCTCCTGAAAACTCGCCTGCTTTGCTGCCCCGCTGGTCCCAAAGGTCAGGCAGGGGAGGGAATGAAGAAAGCACACACCATGGGGTCATCTGGGTTGGGAGCCTGCTAGTTCCAAGCACCCAGCAAACAGGCGTTTGGGTGAGTCAATGTTAACGGTCAACTGTAGGGTAGGTGCTTACATACCCAAATACCACTGAAGTGGGGGGTAGGGAGCAGAGGGGGTCCACACAAGTCCACCTGGAAGGGGAGCTCTTTTCTGAGCAGGACCCCAGGGCCTTCTAGCTGGCCTCTCTGTGCATACCATGCCCACACATTCCCACAACCTGGCACCAAGGGCTCAGTCCTACCATCCACTAGCAGCCCTAGAATGAAGACAGGAACAGGGGGCTCATCAGGAGGCGGAAGTGGGCAGTGAGGAGCCAGGGGTGGGTGTCAGGGGGACTCTCTCACAAGCGAAAAGGAGGGATGCTTTGGAAGCCTCTCTGCGCTAGCCTCTCCATCTGTGCTGAAAGCTAAGCCGACACCCTGACCAGTGGTTTCAAGGGCTCCGCAGTCCAAGCGCTCTCAGTTTCCTGACCTGACGCCTCATCGTGCGTGCGGACGACCCACACCTGCCGGTCACTGGGGTCCTCCCTGCCCTCCCCGCCAAATGCCAACGGATCCACGTGCTGAGCTGAGCCGAGCTGCATCCCCAAGGGAGGCCCAGGGAAGCCGGCGCTAATGCAGCTCATTCAGGTTCTGGTTCTGGAGGCGCTGCCGGGGCCGGTTCAAGTTCGAGTCATTGGCATTGTCAAGGTCAAAGCCATGCCCATTGGACGTGGTCTGAGGCATGAACTGGCGGAAGATGCTGACGCTGCCGTGCCAGAAGGTGGGCTCCGGGAGGCGGCCCACCACACTCCACGCCCGGGTCTCTGGATCAAAAGCCTCCACCACGTCGGAGAGTTCAAACGTATTGTCATAGCCACCAGACACATA